CTTCTCTCTAGCATCTCGTCGCTGCCTGCCTGTACAATCAACAGTGGATAGTAGTTCGAGGGCCGTACCAGACCAGGGAGTCTCCTGGCAATGTCCCTGATCCGGGCCCCAGGGAGGCAGCAGACTTCCCTATGGGATGGGTCTGGGCGGCATATTGGGCCCTCCGTTCCCTTCAGAAGGGAATCACCCACAACAATTACCCTTCTTTTTTTCTTTGTACAGTCAGTCTTGATAGGTAGGGGTGGCCTTCTCTCCCTAGCCAACCCCCTGGGTGGGCCTTAATCCCCATCCTCAGTTGCCTGGCCCTCGACTTCCAGGGCCGCATATCTGTTATGCAAGGGCAGCTGGGAAGGTGAGGGATCCCGGGAGGGGATTCTCCTCCTGCCCCAGGAGGTTCATCGTACCTTTCACCCAGCTAAAGATTATATAGGCCAAATGGCTCCCAGGAAGAGTTCTAAATCTTTTTCTGAACTCCATAATGTGGAAAGGCATCTCAGCTAACATCCCTTTACTCAAGAAGCAGCTAGGTCTTCAGGAGGCAAGCAAGGCTCCAGAAGTTTGCACCAGCTAGTAACAGCAGCACAACTAAACAGTGTGCAGAGCTTCCTCCTCACAGCTCAAGATTTATTTCTTCAGTAATACAATTATTTTTTTTTTTGATAACAAGCTCTGACTTAGTTCTTCACCACCAAAACATCTTTAAACAAAAGTGCATTCAAATAAAGGACAACTTTCAGCCAGGAGCCAGTAATTCTTCTGTATGGGGAGAAAAGTAAGTGGCAGGAAGCACTCAAGTAAATATCTTACTAAAGTTAAATTAGTATTTCTCCCCCAAGAGGCAAAGTAAATAGGAAAAAGTATAAGTCAAAAGATTCTTCTCTTAGTATAGAATTGGAAAGGAGAAGAAAGCTAGAAGTAAATATAAAACTCCAACCATTAACAAACCTGTCAAGAACTATTGCAATATAAAAAGTGGTTTTTAACTGAAATCTCTTAAGGTTATTTATTACAGCACTATATGCATTGCAAAAAGCATAAGAGGGCAGATACTTTGAACACTTAACAATAAGTCTTACAATATTTCCTGACCTAAGGGAACATAGCAAATAATGATACTGGAAAGAAAAAATAAAGGAAAAGATAGTAGAAATCTTATTTGAAGAAAAAGCATCCAACACTTGGTAATCTTAAAAGCTCATTCTTCAGCGTAATTTGTATGAGAGGTTAAGCTTGCATTCCCATAAATTTTACAGTTCAAACAAGGTCCAACAGCATTTTTTCTAATGCACGTATGTCATTTTCCCCTCACCTACTTCCCACACATACTAACTTCTGTAAGACAGCTTCGTGAATTTTGAAATCTGACAGAAAAAGGACTTTAAAGAATAATTTCTCATTAACTGTTTAACAATCTAAGTGTTGTCCAATAGGAGAAATTAACACTATTATTTAATACACTGCCAGTGCCACAATACAACAAATACTGGTGTATTACAGGTAACAGAACAGGGATCTAAGTAGCAGTGGTTATAACCATTTCAGCATTTCCAGAAGACTAGGCATGAAATGTCAATACCTCCACTTCAGACAGTTTTCTGACCACTTCAATTTTCTCCTGAAGGACCCGCCTCAGGGACTCTTTGGCTGTTGTCTCATAGTTGTGTTTGTCTTCTTGTAATGCTATAAGCTCTTTTCGTATACTGTCTTCTGTTTGATTCTGCACATATAATTCAGATACAAAGATAGAATATAAGTTAGTATTTTGCTGATTAAATATATTCAATTGTGATAAGACCTGTTCTATTCCAAAATGTTTAGCAATTTCTGGTAGATGGGAAAACACTATGGACAAATCAGTGATCAAACATTCTTGACATGGCTGGGTGTAAACAAGTTATTTTTGAAGTGTATGTATGGCAGTACACACGCAGCGATAGGCTTTGATTATAGGAAAACTATGGAGGCTTTTTGGACATCATTAAGACAATGTCAAGCCTAGGAGACCTACAATTTGACAAACCAGAAACCTATGAGGTCCCATCTGGAAGACCTCAAACAGGACCTGCAAAAAAAGTTCTTATAATGTAGGTAGTTGAAAGGAATTAAAAATAAAGTAAAAATTTGAGGCAGGCATAGGTGGCCTAAACAACAGTCAAGGCAGCGCACACTTGTTCCTCTGAATATCAAATAGCACATTGATAATGCCTTTTTTCAAATCCCTGTTTGGAAAGAAACATCCATAGGAAACAGGACAGAATGGTTGCTTCTCACCGATGACAGAAATTCTTTTTCTGCATTTCACTACAGAAATGTTTATACACATATACAAAAGAAAACAGTTTGGGCTAAAAAAATGCTGAAAGATAGCCACTTATCTAGATTTAAAGGGATTCCATGAAATACAGAACAGATCTACAGTTTTCATACTATTCAGATTATGAAAATTGCACAGGCTCATTTCAGAAAGTTTATGTTCCAATTGCTTTCCTACAACTAGCTAATTTCAAAACACTTCAAAAGAGCTATTTTTCAGCATTCCTAGTATTCAACTTTAAGCGAACTACTTACCTTTGAACATGCCTGTAATTGATTTCCCATAACCTCTAATCTTGATAGCAGCCTGTCTTCATCTATTAAAGCCTAGCAGAAAAGAAGTATCACCTTAGTATTAACATGTGCTTTACGTAGTTCCAGTAGAATTCTGCTTTAAAGACTTAATTTTGTCGGAGAACTTACTACTAATCGCTATTTCAAACTGGTAAATAATCACTAAATGTATTAAACATTATCCTTTGCACAGTTTAAGAGAACTGCCATAAGCTTCTTATTCTTTCTGCTGCTTTTTTCCCCCCATTGTTTGTAAATTAATAGCTAAAATTTATACACCATTGTGTATTTCAGTCCATAAAGGAAAAGGATGCCTGCAGATACCTGCCAACTAGTATCTGAAGCCTCTTGCGTGACAGCAAGTAGTCGCTGAAGGGTTGCCAGCTTCTGTTCCAACATTTGTTCCCGATGTAAGGCTTCCTATGAAGAGAGCAGAGCACCAGCCAGTTCAGCTATAACAACTCAGAAAAACAGAAGCAACAGAAGAGATACCAAAATACAAGGAAAAAAAAAAAAGGAAGTGTGAGTAGCAAACAGTCACATATACAAAACTGTAACAAGCCCATCCACACATTTATTTGGGTATTTTAATTTTAAAATGTTATCCTATAGCCTCAGGTTCCTGAAAACCTTCATTTTTCATGCATATGTTGCACATGCTGAGTACACATCATAACAAGTTATTCTTTCCAAGACTTAAAAAAACACTTTGACTTTTGTCAATAATTTGAGTAACAAAACTAAACACCAAAAGGCAGCTTGGCAGCTTCCATGCAATGAGCTATTCATCCTCAAATCAGGTCACAAAGGAAAAATGCCAAGCAAGAATGCCTATTTTTGTTTTGGTTTTGTTTTAGGACAGTAAGATAGAAGAGCATCTTCGTTAACAATTCCAGGATATAGAGAGTGAACAGATTGGTGAGCAAGTATGTATTTGGCCTCCCAAGAAAGAGCATCTGCCTGAGCTGCTTCCTGCTATGTCAGCAAGTACATATAAAGTTAGTATCTGCCTCAAAAGCCTCATCACTGATGTTAACAAATCAAAATTGCCGTTACCAATAAAAACAGATTAAATAAATCAGTAGAACTATACACAATTTACACCTAGGTAGAATTTACCAGTAAGAATGTTTTCATATCTTTTCCAGAAAGTGATTATATGATCCTTTCTAAAAAGTTTCTTTTTATATATTAGCACACACATTAATGTGTGTGTAAGACACCTTAGGAATTACACATTGTTGTGTAAGACATCTTAGGAAAAAAACACACCTATTAAAACTGACACAGGAGCAGTCACAGAAAGACTGGTGATGCCCATGAGGAAGAAGAACTGCTAGCACTGTTCCCCCTTTTTGTACTTCGCAATAGATACACAGACAGAAACATTCACACTAAGAAATTATATTCACAGAAATAAACTAGTCCTTGACACATGAAATTACTTGTTTTGCCTTCTTTTTGTTCTACCAAAAACTTTTATATGCATACACAGTACATCCACAGCAATGGATGATGACAAAAATATCGTGAGCAAAAGAAAATTGGGGACAGCGAGGTAGGAGAAAGGCAAGGAAAAGCAGGTATATAGCATTCAGGGAGCCGCCTATGAAATCGGGAGCTTTCACATTTCTCCTATAAAAGTCATAGTTTATACTGCTCATGGAAAACCCAAGAGTTTACACAGAACTATACTATCTCCAATTACAACGTTTTACATTATTTCACTACAGAAAAGGTAGTTAAACACTTATCATGTTCCGGTTTACAAAAAGCAAGCCAAACAAAGACATGCAGAGCATAAGATTTGTGTTGACGAAGATCAAATATTTAGCCAAACTAAATGCTGTCAAGAGAAAACATACCTGTAGATACTGTGAAAGCTGAAACAATTCCTGAGAATACATACTGGGAGTGTTAGCAGCAACCTGAAAAATAAGAGAACTTAAGCATCAAAATGGGTTTGGATTTTTCATTAAACTCAAATAATGCAAAATTCATCATTTAAATCTAGTCATGAAGGTAAACTTAATATTTTTTTAATCATGGCATTTTCTATCATTTATTGTTCTGCTACTGTTTATTCTTTGTTTTCTCATAGAGCTTTCAAACTCTGGACTGAGGTCCCCTGCACTGTGTTAATGTCTTTACAAGTTCTTGAACCACCAACACACCAAAGAGTTCAAGGCTTTTGTTTCAGTTGAGATTAAATTGACAAAAAAGAAACAAGGTGCACAAAGAGAAAGCCATTCAACCCAAGGACAAACAGAAATTGGGGGCTTCCAGAATTAAGTAAAGTCTCTCATATTCCAATTCAATGTTATCATCACACACACATTTCCATCAAGTTTCCTGTTGACCTACTAGCCATCATCTTCAGCATTCCCCTTTATAAGTACCTATTTCAGACTTGAGGAACAGCTGTATCATCTTTAATGATAACTGAAAGTGTTCTGGACTTGGGGGGAAAGAGGGGCGTTTTTTTGTGAAGGTTTTTTGGCAAATGTATTTGTTTACTCATTTTTGTAGGCTCTTCCTACACTGACATAATTCTGAAGCTGTTTCTCCACACAGTTATACCTGCAGTCCCTCCTCAATATTTCTGCCCTTGCCCTGGATTCAAGCTACATATGCTGTTTTGAAACCTCAACTTAAATACAAAGTCTATGAACTCCTCGGGCTGCTAACTTCACAAATAAGTTTCCTCAGTTTCTTCAAATCTTGTTCTTCACATTTAAAACTCTGATTCAAACCTGTTAATTCTTCTTTTTAGAGGCTAGGGAGACAATCAATTCCTGATCACTTGTCTTAAGGGTGTATCTGCTCACAGCTTCTACAAGTCCCCCCATTATCAAAATTGAGTTAAAAAATTACGCTAGACATTACTGACTGCGTGACTCTACAGTCTCTGGCTGTGCAAGAGGAGCAGAGAGGTCTGGCCTCAATCTTCCCTTGCAACATACCAGAGCAGTTTCCAGCCTGTGCAGTGAAGCTTCTCCTCCATAAAAAATACAAGGACAACAGACCTTATCCAAACACCAAATGATGAGCTACTCCTGGGCCCCACCAAACAAAGTATCAAATTATGCAATACCCAAGACCTGTTAGTCAGTCAACCGGCACCTGGAAATTTAACCCTCTTAACATCAATTTTTCTTTTTCTAAGCCATGTTTCAGAAGCCATACTACATTCAGAACTCAAGCTACCTTAAAAGATACACTGCAGTACCGCATTACCTTCTCTACCTTAAATGTCACTCAAAATATTAAACTAGGTAAAAACAGGCAGTGGAAAATATATCTAAATGTAAATGGACTTCACCATTTCTTCACCTTTGTAACAAGTCAGAAAACAGCATGTTTTAAGCATGAATAAGGCAGGAAACAGCAAATTACTGAATTACCTTGTCAACAGGACTTGGTAATGGAGCATGGATAACACTAAAAAAAAAAATAAATTAAAAGTTAACACAAAGTGCAGAATAGCAATTCAAAAATCTACAAGATCCCTAGTACTGTGCATTTCATCAAGATGCCTTGTATTTTTAAGTTTATTCTTCAGATAAAAATTAAGAGTTAACATACAAACATGCAAAACCAATTAATGCTTTGCTGAGCGATGTTTTCAAAGTTACAGAATTATTTTCAAATTTTAAATCCAAGGTCTAATCTAAAAACTCTCTTTACCAACTTTTATTTCAGTAGTTACATAATATTGGGGGTTTTTTTTTAAACTGATTTATTAAGATTTAAACCAATTTACATGCACAAACCTATATGAAAAGACAGTGGACATACTACTCTCATTTACAAATTCAACAAACAGAGTAAAATCGTATTTGATAACTTACAGAATTTTGTACACTTTCACTAAAGCAAGTGTTATACCTGCACATTTTCATCAGAACTAAAAATTTAACACCATACATTTCTATTATTTCTTATTAGGACATGTAATTACATGGAAGATTTCCCATAATGATTTATTTTGACTTATCTTCCCAAGAGCAAAGACACCCTAAGGCTTCATGCAAATATTTCTGGATACTAATGATAAAAATATTTAAAGAAACAATCAAAACCATACAATTACTGAGGATGAAATATGATCAAAATTATGTCATTTGTAACTGGCACTCAGTTACTGCAAACAAAATTTTTACATTTTTTTCTACTGCTCTTTGGAATTTTCTCCAAAATATGTACATATGTTTCCCCAAACATATACACAGAAACCCTCTCAATATTCATCTGAGTTTCCAAAAATTATTCCGTCCAACATATTTTATGATTTTTTTTCTCCTCATGCCAGGCAAAGCTTTCTTTCATTGTGACATCAAATAACTGCACCACAAGGACATGTTACTTTATTATTTACCTGACAAATCTAAACAGTATTATGTGTACACATAGAGACACCATTAACCTCACTTTAGCAGAGTCTATGGGCATTTAAAGGAGCAAAAATAATAATCCCAAATAAAAAAGAGGGAAGGAGAATGCTCGTTTGCTTTCTTTTGTCCTATATTCTTCTGCTTTATAATACTCATTCCAGTACACTAAACCACAGGCAGTCAGAAAAGCCCAATTTGATAAGAACTTTTTTATTCTTTTATAGAACTTCTTCATTCTTTCCTAGTTGTCTTAATTTCTAAAAGCAACAAGCAAATAAGATTTCTTTTTCATAATGCCTGCAAAAGAACCATGCTCTCAGTTATTTTCTTTGCATGATCACAGGACAAGAAACTGTTCCTATGATCATTTGAAACATAATATTCATCAAATCGGCATTATACAGTAGTTTAATTTGCTACACACAAATAGATACTTATTCTTACTCTGATCGCAATCGAGCTTCCATTCCATCTGGAAGAAACAGTTTGATTGTGGAGACTATACATCCATGGGTAACTGAAAAGAAGCAAATACTAAGTTATCATGACTTGTTGCTAGTTAATTATAAGTTCAGTCATTAATTTTATAGTAACCAAGTGAACAGTCTTAAGACACTCTGAGGCAGGCAAAGAAGAGGAGGCATGAATGCACCAGTGCCTGGGTCTGCGTTCTTGGACCTCCTCTGGAGAGAGGCCACTTTATCATAAGAAACTTGAAGAGGTTATGCTGTGCACTTGGTCCTGGCTGTGAAGCAGTTACAGCTCCAATTCTTCCACATGCAGCAATGCCTGCAAGATGCCTTTACTGTAGCAAGAAAAAAAGATAACTGTACGTTTTGATCATGAAATGAGGAAAAAGGAATGTACCTTACCTGCGCGAGGTAACAGGAATGCAGAATTATAAACAAAATAATGAGCTACCTTCTTGACAAGATTCCTATGAGCATATCCAGGGATTTAAAAGGTAACACATCCAATCAGTGTCGTCAGACACTCACTTCAACATCTAGAACTTGCCAAGTGATTGTTATTTACAAACACAAGGATCAGAAAGGGAATGCAGAGGAGGAACCACTGAGAAGTATGTCCCCTTGAACACCATGAGCAATATCTGATTCTTACATCAAGTTCAATATCTCTTCACAAAGTTTCTCAAAAGAAGTTATTGATACCATTTTCAATGACATTGCAAACAGTCAAATTACATCTGGTGGTTGTTTTTCCTTCTATGATTCGTGAAGTAAAAGTTCTTTCCAGTTACATAGACAAACAGATGTTGTTCCCAAAACCACTACATCAAGCTAGATACAAGTAAGTACATTCTCAACCACCATCTACCACTATACCTGAAGCACCCACCAACATACAAATAGCTGCTCTACTTTCATGGTTATTAATATCAGCAAAACAGCTAATCTGGCTTTTGGGGGGGGGAAAAAAAAAAAAAAAAGGAGAAAAAAGGCAATGGGTGTTTTAGGATGACAACAGTGCTCCAGGGAAACGAGACAGGTCTTTGAGGAAGCTACCTCAATAGAATCTAAAAACACAGAAGAAACATCCAACTAAACAGAGATGTTCTTAGCCTTTATTCAGTGCTAAAAGCTAATGCTTTGGAGAAGTATCATCTTGGCTACAGCACTTTGTTTTTTCAAGCTGACCTGGTAAAGTATTAAATTTAAATGCCAGGGAAGAACAGCCAGGACTTCATTCTCAAAACAGATTAATCCATGGGCATTGAGGTCTTTTTTGGCTTTAGACTTAGCTGCACAGAATTCACAAATCTGTTCTTTCAAAAACATAAAAAAATTACATTAGCAATATTAGCTGACACATGTAATACCCATGCAGCTTTCACACTGAAGAATCTTTCCTTTAGAGTATGAAGAAGAAATTAGTGATTTCAAGAAGAAAGTAATAGGGTATCTGGAATTAAAGCATGTGCATTTGACAAGTGGGTTTAATTTAATACTGCAAATTAATTGCATTTAATGCAAATTAAAGCCAGTGCATTTGACAAGCAGCATGTACCAGGTTTCCTAATTAAAGGCCAACACACAGCTTTACCTTTGGGACATGTATCAGGTGGGTCTGCTGTGAGATTATATAATTCTGAAGTTTTTCCATCAGACCAAAAAAAATCTCCTAAAAGCTGCATGAGATTAATTTGTGTTAAAAAGATATTAAAGGGATTTAGCAGAGGGTCTCAAATGGACAGTGACTGTGAAAAGACACTTAGCATTTTGATATATTTAGAAAATAAAAATAATTGAAAAAGAAAAAAAAAAAAACCAACCTCTTTCCTTTTCCTATCGGTTCATTATAATTGAAAGAATAATGAGAAAGTCTAAGGGAAAGGTAAAGCAACATATAAAACATTATTATAGCGCTGACCAACAGGACAGTAGTTAAAATTCAAGCCTATATTATTCCTTTGGGGGAATACAATCAAAAAAGCAGCAGCAGTAAAGCCACCTCTGGTTGCCAAGTGGGACTGAGAAAATTCTCCCCAAACTAAACCGTGT